TACTTGGGTCTCATCGATATGTAGTCACTTTTAAAGACTCCGCAGTGCACTAATAGCCCCACTGTGCCTCTTTTCTGTAGGCTGTTCGCATAGATTTGTATGGAGGTAATGATCAAGGCTCAGTGATACAGCTATGTGGATAAAAAATAAATAAACATTGGGTTTAAGTCAGGACAATAGTCTCTCTTCGATGCAGCGTGTATGTGTTTTCCTTCGATGGAACAAAGTGGTCCCACACCCTTTTGTTAAGCTTTAGCTAGACAGTTAACCATCTGTGCAGACAAACACACTTCAGTCTGAATGATCCTCCCTCTTGCTGAACTTGTTTGTCCATTTTCTTTTGGTAGCCTTGATAAGTGAATTTGATAAATGTGGAATGGTGCTCTTGTGTTAGGGCTCTGTTGTCTTTATTAGACAGTGTGGCAGTTTCAAAAGCATGTGTATTCAACTAGTCCATCCTTTTGATGGACTATTTTTGGGCGCAGTTTGAGCATCACCATAAACCATAATTAAAGTAAAAACCCTTCTGCTGCCCCCTTTTTTTACACCTACTTCCTCTGATCTCTGAAAACCAATACGGATTCACAGCCTGCCTATGTTTCCCTTATGGATTCATTCTAATCAGATTCACACAGGCCCACCTATGCAGATCCATCCCATGTGCTGCCAACCCTCTTTATATTTAACCAACCCCCTCAACATGCACACACCCACAACATAGCATTGTACTACATTTTTCAACATGGCACCAAAGCCACTCCACCGTTGAGTACAGCTTGGTTCCACGTCATCCTCATTTGATTCTGTTTTATTTATTTACCCGGAGACGGCAAGAAGCTACACTCCATAGGCTGGAGCTAAGGCTTTAGCCATAATGTCCTTATAGCAGTGTGTGACAGTATGAGGCCAAACTACACTCTCCAACAATCCGTCATCCCTCCCACTGATTCATTTGTATGTGATGGGAATACATTCTCATACAAAGACCATAAAACATGTCATTGTCAACAGAGGTTACAATGAGCTGATGAAGGACGGAAGCGAAAAGAGAATATGGTAAGATTTGTATTGTGTGTCCCCCAAGGGCTGCTCACCGAGAATGCATTTTGCAGGCAAGGCTTTGTCATGGGGGGATAGTTGGAAGTAGCGAGGGGGGGGGGTTACAACATCATCCTGCCAAGGCTCTGACAGGCTGCAGCCCCACGGGGTCAGTCGGCAGCCTGTTTCTGGAGCATCACCATCAGTCTCCTTCCCCAGCCTCACTGTGCTTGTTCGTATTAGTTAGAGAATCAGAAAGGACTGTGTGTGGGTGTATGTGGGGCTGAGTACTCATAGCACATCTCCTGGTGTATATAAGCCTGTGGAAAGATCTGCGTGTCTTTTTTTGCATATATGCAGTATGTATGTCAGCCATTGTTAATTTCATTGATGTGTAAGTCTGTGTGGAGAAGCATGCGGAAGCTTTTCAGTGTGAGGCATCTCGGTGAGTCACTGCTCTCATATATCCGGACTCCGCACTCTACTCCGTATTGACTCTCTCTCCCCTCCCCGGTCGGTTCTGCAGCAGGAGTGTGCTCGGTAGAGCCAGACCTTTGTCCACATCATAATCATTGTCGTCATTTTCTCTCCTCCTCAGTTACAGCTCATCACGTTACTGGCTCTGTTTGAATATATGAATGAATTAACCTAAATGCTGAGGTAGGAGTTATGCAGTCAGTTTGAAATAATGCAAGAGGAGACGGCGAAGCTGAGTATGGATGTTATTTTATTTAGATGTATATGTATGCAGCTAGAACATTGAAAGCTTCCTGCTGTTGTTGAACATGGGTCATAGCTGATGGCCACTCAGTGGACCCACAAAGCATGTAATGCTATCTTGCCCTCACTATAAAGATGTATTGGAAAGACCTATTCATCCAGCTAATGCCTTTGTGCATCTGTTCTTTCATCAATCAGCAGCTTTGTACTTTAGTGGGTGATTCCCCTGGACACGGTGCCCAGCCTCGCTTGCCTCAAAGAGCTCATCCCAGATGGGAAATGCCGCGCGGCCGTGAGCTTGCTACCTGTCCGATACTTGTTCCATTCATCTGAGCCAGCGGCTGATCAATAGCTGATCTAATAGAACATTAAAAGCCCTGGGCTCAGTGAAAGGCAGGACTGCTGACAGTAAGGAGTAGACAGCCTGTGAACCATGGTGAGAGGGAGAGACCACAGAGAGTCCCGGGGGGGCGGTGCAAGATGGATTTTCTCCCAGCTAAAGGGGTGTTCAGGCAGTGAAGGATGTTAGGGCGGGCGAGGCGTGGCATGGCAAGGGCAGAGTTACTTGTTTTTTTACTGTGAGTGCTGGTGCAATAGAGGTGAAGTCGGGGAATGACAGCATCACTTTTTAGGTAGGATAGGCTTAGAGATGTGTTACTAAAATACATTTGAAGCAATTCAAAGTGCTCTATCTTTTTATATATTTGTAGTGCAAACAGAGTTTCATTTAGATTCTAAAAACACCCTGCCCTTCTCTTCTCATAGCCTGTCAATGATACAAGCTCTTCCTTGAATGTTCAAAGAATCTGCTGTAGACATTGTTGGTTTTGGTGACAGTCTACATTTTGTTCCTTCCCGTCACTCCCCATATTTCCAACTTGGAAAAGCACCACACTGATTCGCCCCTTCTCTTTCACAGGACCCAAACACACACCCATTTAGAGCTGGCTGGCTAACAGACCCATAGGAATAAAAACAGAGCTTAGTGTCTGCGACCCTGAATATCCCCTCTACTGCAATGTCATCACAATCCAGCCCACGCCTACTAATGCTCAGCCAAAACACAGACTGACTGTGAGTTTTGCAGCCCATCTCTGCGGCAGTGCCTAGTAGCATGTCTGGTGTTTGATGTAACACCCAAATACTTAGCCTACCATGATGAGAGCAAATGAATGTTGAATTGCGTCTCCATTTTGTCTTCTTCTCCATACAAACACAACATTTCCGACCACTCCCTCAGCTGAGAGATTCAGACCTCTAACATCAACATTTTTAGTTGTTGAAAACATGTCTGTTAGGTGGAATGGATATTTTTGTGATTTATTTGTATGTATTTATTTATTCAGCAATATTTCAAGCCACCCTTTAGAAGAGCTTCATCATAAACATTTAAAAAGTAGAGAAACTAGCTTAGGCTTTAGGTGATATCTGCACTGCAAATCCACTGTTGACAACATTTGTGTTGGTTCTAGTGGGAACTATAAGCTCCCAAAAAAGCTACATGACATTAACTTAAAATCTTGTGGCCTTGGCTGTGGAAGTATTGGGTCACTGAACGATAGCAAGTTATTTAGTGATATAGCCACTGTTTTTATTTGAGCACATGAGTGGTATTGGTTTTAGTCGTGTAGTCATCTCATTGCACAGACCATTCTTGGTTATGTGTCATCCAGTGAGAATGAAGTGAAACTGACCAAAAACCTCTTACATTCTCTGCAACAATAGACTTTAATGTTGGTCATATGGTATCAGGTTCGGCTATTGTATTTCCAGTCAAAAGACAATACTGCACAGGCTCTTTGAGTTTCTATCCAATAGCTAAAGCAAGGTGTGTAGGAGTGTGAGTCTTTCTTCCAGGCTGGTTTCACACAGTGTACCAGAAACTGAAAACTGGTAAATCTCTCTCGCCAATAGTTCTCAATAGTCCTCATTTTATTTCTCTTCACCTTTGCTTCACACCTACTTTCCCTCCGTCGTCTGTCTTTGAGTGGGCGGCTCAATGCGGCGTAGTCTGCACCCTGTAAGGTTCTGATTAGATCGCTCTGTCTCTCCTCTCTTATTCACTTTCTGCCTCGCAAATTAGGCTTGCAGACTTTTTGTTTCCGTGCTTTCACTCACATTACCAACGGAACTGTATAAAGTGAAATCATTGCTAAAATACATAAATATATAATACATATTTTAGAGCACCAATGATCAAATGGAATGTGTATTCCTCATGGCTCATACAACCTATTTTCAAATTGCTTAATCGGACAGTGACACCTCACACAGCTCCAACACACTTCAGACTCAGCAGCAGCAGACAGGTCTAACAGCCTGTATGTCTGTGAGGCATATATTGCTGTGTTCATTAGCTTGAGTGTTACATGATTTTACAGTGAAGCCTGTTTGGGGTTGTGTGTTAAATGTTAGACCACTTACACAGTTGTGGTCTTAAGGCCTTCACAATGCAGTAATACGTTCTTCAAATCAGGTACGTGTGCGCCTGCTCACACGCACAGCATCACATTTTGATTCAGAATGTCTACACTTGTCCACCACACATTGTTTTCTTCATCTTTGCCCTCTTATCTTACTCCCTTTCCTACTAACAGTCGGGCATCGCCACTCATGCTATACTTACTAACCTTCTCTGTTGTTGTTCAACTTTAGCGCACTATACCAAACGCAATCTCTATTGTGCATAAATCGTGGAGCTGTATTCCTGTGACGCCAACGTAGGCCTCATTTCTGACAGGGGTTTGCAGACAATTTCAGGCATTGTAATGTTCATTTTCTCCTGTTACCTCTCAAGTCAAATCAATTTACACACACTCCAGCTGCTGTTAGAGAGCACCTCAGACACATTGAGGTTGCCTTCTCCAGTTAGCCTGCCAAGCATTAAATCCCATCATGACCTGCATGTGTTGGACAGCGACCGATACAGTGAGGAAATATACTGTCATTCTTCTGCGTTGAATTTGTCAACAGGCCCAGTAGTCTTGAATCTGTGTTCATATCAGGTCTATTCGAGCATCGTGTCCTCTGAAGTGTTAGTGTGACCGACTGGAAGATAGACATCTGATTCAGCTGGCAGGGGGTTCCTCTCTGCCAGCGTACGCCTCTCTACAGTATAGCTCTGTCCTGCTGCAGAGGGTCATTTTCTCAACACACTGACTGTCCTCTCTTATGTTTTCTTATGACCCCCCCCCCCCCCCCCCTCCTCAACCCTGTTTCTCCTTTTTGTCTTCCTTTTCCAGGCCAAGTCGTGCATCTGTCACATGTGTGGTGCCCACCTGAACCGACTCCACTCTTGTCTCTACTGCGTTTTTTTCGGCTGTTTTACGAAGAAACACATCCACGAGCACGCGAAAAACAAGAGACACAATCTAGGTAAGACACACACACTCTCTCTCTCTCCTTTTTAAAGTGTTTTATATCTATAACAAATCTGAATTGCTGTGTAGTATGAATTAAAATACAATTTTGATCATAATTATTTTTTAATCCCAACAAATGGCTCACAATAGAGCTAAAAGGATGGCCGAAAACATTATACTGACCCTCCCTACGTCCAAGGCTCAGTCTCATTACCTCATTCCTCATATTCACATGCACTCCTGTGGCCCACTGCAGCATCAGCTATTACCAGCAAAGGATTACAGCATTACTTTGAGCAACTTCCTCCTCCTCCTCAGACAGACAGGGAGCTGAACCTCGCTTTAACTGCAGCACATTACCATTCTGGTGGGAGCGCCTTAGCCAGTCAAATGTCATGGGTTTAAGTTCCTACTCTCCCTTTCATACAGCAGCAAGGGAGGAGTAGACACTGCTAATCCACAGCTACCAGAAAGCCTATTTTCAACCTTACATGCTAATTATGCAAAATAAGATAATGATACTAGCGAGCAAGATTTTAATATTACACCAGTGAGGGCGTCTAAAAATGGCAACCAGGGAGACGGTAGGCGTTCTTGGTAGCTGTCTGAATGGCCTTAATTGATTTAATGCATTTCAACAGTTTGGTTACACACACACACACACACACACACACACACACACACACAGTCTTAATTACCTGAGCTTTCCACTGGAGCCTCTCTGACAGTGGCGCTCTGTTCCTCTCCACCTCTAATCAAGTTAACCAAACTCCCTGTCTACTAGATGGCAAGCTGCCCTCTCAGGACTACTTTTCACATCTTTTTTTAGTCCCTCTCCTAACAACCTTCCTTCTTGGGACACTTTCATATCTTCTTCTTGTCCTTTATTCTAGTTTGACCTAATCCCTGTCACTGTTTCTCACAGAATTAGAATAAGGATGTGGGTCGAGGCACATCCAGCGTACAACATGCTAACGTTGACAACCCAACTGTATTCTATTGTAAACTTCTCGCTATCTTTACTAGCTAGAGTTGGGTTTCCAAGATTGGCACTCATGTGTGACCATGGAAACAATAACTTATGAGTTCATTAGAATGTGCAGAGGTGTCCATGATACTCACCTTTCTTTCTTTAATGCCTGTGTGTTTGTCAGTGATCCCGGGAGATAGCAGAAAGAACAGGTGGGGGAGGAACAGACCATGGGGAGATTATACTATTGATTACAACTACTAAAATGGGTTGCCAAATATGCTTATGCAGTATTAAAATAACCTGGGCGGCCAACTCAGTCAATGCGTGGGAAACACTGCTTCTTCCCCTTTTCTTTCACCTACCAGTCTTTGGATTATTTTCACTGTTCCTTCACTCAAATGAGTACGATTTATAAATTCCTGCCTGTATCTTGTGCAGTACTCAATCGACTATATCTTCTTCCTCGTGGCCATGTCAGATTCTTCTCTCTTAATCGTTACCCAATGACGCCGTGTTTTACAAGAGAAAAGAAAGATGAGACGGAAAGATGGTTATGTTTTTCAAATTCATTTTAGTTTTACGGCATGACTTATTTCTTTGCATGTTTGCTTAAACACACACAACATGTCCCTGGGACAATGATATAACAAACACCAGTCAGGTTTTCTACATGATGCGTTGGCTCACTTTGTCAGTGTGGGTGGCACCAAAAACAGAAAAATGTCCAGTTAAGCTAAAAATAGGTTGTCACGGCAACAGAGCTGAGGTATTGTTGCCGTGGAGTTTGAGAATGGAACAGGATGGTGTTAGTTGAACGCCCAGGTGGGGGTGGGAGACAAATACACCTATTCCATCACTACTCCCCTCATATCTGTTAATTGCTCAGTGCAAGCAATGAGATGAGATGGAATGCAGTGCGGAGAAACGCTTGTCTTGAGGCTGGCTGCACCATCGAGGTTGAACGATAAAATAAAACCCAATGTGTGTTACTGTGCTGGAAAAATCTATTTGTAATTATGGTGCAATCTCTCTTTCGTCCCCTCTCTCTCTCCCTCTCTCTTCCCTTCTTCCAGCGATAGACTTATTATACGGTGGAATATATTGTTTTGTGTGTCAAGACTACATATACGACAAAGACATGGAGCAGATTGCCAAAGAGGAACAGAGGAAAGCCTGGAAATTGCAAGGTAGAGCATTGTGTATTCTCTCAGATATCATCTTTTCTAACAAGTTTATATCGTGCCGTCTTATTGGTGTTTCTTTGTATCCACAGGCATAGGGGAGAAATACACAACATGGGAGCCGACCAAGAGGGAGCTAGAATTGTTACGACACAATCCAAAGCGGAGGAAAATCACTACAAACTGTACCATAGGTAAGCACTAGACTGCACAGCTTCCTCTCTGGGATCCTTAAGAGCTGGGTGTTATCTTCATGTGCCTATGGAGCAAGTGTACTTGGGGTCACTCTTGCGTTAAAGTGTGATACCCAAGGTCGACAGGATCCAACAGCATCACAGGCAGAGCACTGCGAGGCGCAGAACACAGTGTTCCCTCTCTGACACTGTAGAGGCACCCCTCAATCTGTTTCTCCACAGAACATGTTTTCTTTCCTCAGTGATCCGTTGCTTTGTTTTCTCCCTGCCAATTCTGTCTCTGATAAAGTACATGAGCTTTTGGTTCTTTCCCTCTACCCTGCCATCCTTCAACCCCTTATATCTTCAAAGAGCTTGGTTGGTAGCCCTGATTGTGCAGTAGACTGTGTGTTTGTGCACTCCAGGACCAGTCTGAGGCAATAAACCTCTCGCTGAGCGCTCTCTTCCAGAACCAAACCATGCTCAATTGGATTAAACCCAAAACCTGGCTGTGTCTCACCTGTTCTATTGGCCATCACTGGAAAACCGAAGCTTTTCGTTTCTCACTCTAAATGATTCCATTAACAGCTCTGGAGTCAGCTCCAGGATACACACTGTTTTGCTGGCAGACCTGACCCAACACCTTGATAAGAAAACAAACATACGCAAACATATTTTAAAAGTGCCAGTGGCTTTTATGTGTAATACATATTCAGGAAGATTGAGATGTGGGTGCTATATTTATGGTTCAATATAGGGCCTTAACAAATATTTACATTGTCCATTAAGTTGCCAGTTAATTCTAAGAATAATTAATTTAATGATATCCGGAAGAAGTAAATAGTTTAAAAGTATTAAAGATGCCCATTTTAATTTCCGTAAATCCACGGTGATGCTGTGAGATGCTTCTTTTTCTGATATATAACAAAACCAATATAGATTTGGTCCAAAAGTCAAAGAAAAATGTCTATTTCTCACCAAAAGAAAATATCAATACCATATATGTGGTTCTTATGGCTACTAATTCAGTTTTGCTTACTAATAAAACTGGCCACAGATAAAACTTGGTCAAATCAGAGATCAGGTAATTATTTGGGATTCAAGTTCCCTCTTTTTTTAGGAATTAGGAATCAGAAGTAGCACAGTCATGTTTAACCTTCAATGCCATGTTGCACTTACACTTGTCTTTGTCTCTTCTTGTCCTGCAGGTTTACGAGGATTAATAAACCTGGGCAACACGTGTTTCATGAACTGCATTGTTCAGGCTCTCACACACACGCCGCTGCTGCGAGACTTCTTTCTCTCCGACAGACACAAGTGCGAGATGCAATCAAACTCCTGTCTGGTGTGTGAGATGTCGCAGCTCTTTCAAGAGGTATGATCCACAGTTAGTGTTTGAACTTCTTCACATAGATTTGCTCGATCCCACATAGAAAAGTATGATTTTGGTCCAAACTGAGGTACAATTTTAGGTATTTTTTCAAACCATGTGATGCCTTCTCTCGCAGTGTAACGCATTGCAGCAGGCTGAGTCACTGTTGAGCTCTTCTGTCGAGTCCAAAGAGAGAGGCAGGGAGAGGAGAGAAAAATCCTCCCTGAGAGGAATGAACAGAGCCTCATGCAAATGAATAAGCAGAATTATACTTTTATCTAACCTGCTTAGTACATGCAAATGACTGTATGTTGCACAGCTGTTTATAGCCTCTTAAGCCGACCTCTTTGATACAAAAGTTTGCTGTTTTGCATCTAACAAACTCATCGGCCCTGGACGTTATGTCATATCTGCCTGCTCTGCTCCCACACTGCCTCGCTTTTTTTTCTTACACCCTCTCACTTCCCAGTATATATGGGCCTACAGATGGCAAGTGGTGCTATAATGAGTTGAGTCATCGCCGACCAATCAACACAACACGCATACAATATATAACACATGAAGGAGGTAATCGCTCACCTCTATCACGCAGAGGCAGACGGTGATTGAGTATTCCAGCTGTGTGTGAGACAGAACACTCAGGGTCACCCATACAAGAAACACTAATCCATTCAAACACTCTCTGTCCCACACATATTATCACTCAAGTCTTCCTAGCAGACTTCCATCCCGCAACTTCATTCCTTTTTTTAACCAGCCCAATGTCGTCATCAGATGCTGTCTTTTGACTCTGCAGACACACACACACTTATACACACACACACACACAGAGCTTCATATATTTGAAGGTAAGAGACGCGGCCCGCTTTGATCGGTGTTGAACCTTGCTCCATACGATCACGTTGTTCAACCATGTCTTTGTGTACTGTGTTTTATGATAAGATGGACCTTTATTGATCCATGTAGGGAAATGCAGGTGTTACAGCAGCAACAGAAAAGAGAAACACAGAGTACACATAAGAATACAGACATGGTTAATAAAGATAAAACAAATTGCATACTGTATATACATATATGCGCATCACACACATCTCTCGTCTCGAGCTGGCATTACAGCTTTTGTCGCTAGGTGATGCGTGTTGGAATTAATTCATATTTCTGAAGATGTCTGTAGAAAGCAGCAGCAGCTGAGAGAGACAGAAGATCACGTCTTACTGACAGAGCGTTTGCTACGGTTCAGCAATGAATTATAGATGACCAGTGAGCATTGTGGCGATGAGCCTGTCACAGAGGTGATAAAATGAGGTATGTCGGACCTAAGAACACCTGGAAAACTAGGCTAACCACCCTCTCCTCTTCACCCCCAACGCCTCCCCCATCTCTCTTCCCCGCTCTCAGTTCTACTCGGGCCACCGTTCACCCCACATTCCCTTCCGGCTGCTGCACCTGGTGTGGACTCATGCACGTCACCTTGCAGGATACGAGCAACAAGACGCCCACGAGTTCCTCATCGCAGCTCTGGATGTTCTACACCGGCACTGCAAAGGGGACACCATCAGTAAGCCATATAACCAATCAATGTCTGAAAATAAAAAATAAACACCAATGTGTTCCCTTTTTAAATTCAGCAAGATTCAAAGGTTTACCCTAGATTTGTTTTCAGGTGCTTTCTTGAGTATTACTATTATACATCAGCCAGGATTGCAGCTTTTCCAAGTCGGACTGAATAGAAAACGCAGCAAAGATCAGTGTCGGTGATATTGAGTGTGTGGGCCACCTACTGCCTGATCCGGCATGTGTAGTTGTACTTTAGATCGACCAACAGAGCATACTGCCTCACTTCACTGGAAGCATACTGAAGGAGACTGGCAATCTTGTATACCAAAGGGAAAGGAAGCAAGCAGTGTGAGGAATGTCAATAGGACCTGCTGCAGTGCAATGACAGGCTGACTCACCCTCAGACCCTGCAGTGAGGCTTCCATTAGCTACGACACAGAGAGTTGTGAAGTGGCACAGAGGCTCCGCTGCAGGGGAAACGTAAAGTGAGAAAGAGCGGCAGACGGAGCGCTTTAGAGGTGCTAAACAGGTCGTAGGTGTTATCTGTGTGTCTATTCATACTTTCTGCTCTTCACAGGAGATGACAATGGGAAGAAGGCCAACAATCCAAACCACTGTAACTGCATCATTGACCAAATCTTCACTGGGGGCTTGCAATCAGATGTTACCTGTCAAGTGTGCCAGTAAGTTTCTTGTTTGTTTTCAATTTAAAAATAATAAAGAAGCTATTTCTCAAAATGAAGTCCCATTTGAAAGCCTTTCTCTCCATTCATCTTGAGGGAGCACCCCCCTTCTTTTCTATACACACATCCATCATCTATCTGTCCTGCGATTGCGTAGTCTCCTCTCTCCGCTTGGCTGATCGATGTGGACGCCACCTGTCCTCTCAGAGTGGGTCAACCACTGGTTGTGTCCTCTCCACTGCTAATGTTTAAAGGCCCAGTCCCTGCAAAGATGCTGTGGGGGGGGGGGGGGCGGTTGTCTAGACATCAGCACAACTGAAGCGTTGCCTGCCTCCTAGAGCTGTCCTGTCACATTAACACTAGCGCGTTGCACTGAACTGCAAAGCACCTCGTCCAGGCTAGCGGGCAAGCCCAGCAAAGTGCATTGTTACCTATGAAGAGAGTCTGCTGAAGCTGTCTCCAGCATCACTCTGCCATAAACTGAACCGCCCTGTAATGGTTAGATACATCTTCTGTAGACGATAGATTACTTATAGTTAAGGCCTTAAGCAACAAGGAAATGCATCCCCCAAAGCTTTATTTTGGCAACAGAAATGGTACCGTAATGGTTCCATATTGCTGCAGGGTTGCTCTTAATGCATGCACACTTGCCTTAGAAGCCACCTACTGGCACCACTTGGTGTAACATCACCATGACTCATCTAATCAACAGCGGTAATTTGCGGCAGCCTGTGCGCATATTTGTGTGTAATGCATGCATTCTTCACTGAAGCCTCCATTTTGCCCCAGCTGCAGACCATCACTCAATGGTATTGGGTTGTAAAAATACAAATCCCAAGCTAATATTCTCTGAGTGGGGAATATTATTCACATCATGCACCCATTCATTGTTCGCTGTTCAAGCAGGCTTTAAACCAAAACATGATCAGTGTCTACAGAGGCTGTGTGAATCTAAGCTTGGGCATTGCCATCTGTGTCATCATCCTTTCATCATGACCTGTATTAGATGACACACAACCGCACACTATTTATTCAAACTCATAATCAATCCCTCTTTTCTTTTTTCCCTCTTAGTGGGGTTTCCACGACGATAGATCCATTCTGGGACATCAGCCTGGACCTTCCTGGCTCTTCCACACCTTTCTGGCCCCTCAGCCCTGGAGGGGATGGCGGCACAGTGAATGGAGAGAGCCACCTGTCAGGGGCCACCACCCTCACAGACTGCCTGCGCAGGTACGGATCAGCTGACACCTGACAGTTTGTCCTTTTATCTTTTGCCAGTGTGGTTTCCTTTTTTTTAATCTAAACTAAACTAAAATCCCCATCTCCTGGGTTGTAGAATACGCTTAGCGCCAAATCATAAGCGCTTCTTGCCAAAAAACACAATAACATGATGCTATTAAAATGTTGTTAGTTTCAAAATAAATGATGTCATGACATTTGGAAAAGGAAAGGAAGTACTTTTCTTTCAATAGGCGTATTTTCCTGTATCCTTCTGCCACCTCTCCAGATTAATGGGTTTCAATCGTCTCCACTTAAAAACAAATCTCATCATCCCCTCGCTTGTATGAGAGGTCACGTATTGTGTCTGCTCAGCCACGACAAACCTGTTATCCCTGGATCTCATCTTCTCCACACTCACCAGGTTTGCAGAGCAGATGTGACCTCTCATATCTCCTCTACTGCCTCTTCATTCTTGCAATTTCTTTTCCTCCTTATCTTATTTCCCTCCCTCCCTTCCCTCTCCATATAATTCTTTCCCCCCCGTGCCCTCACTCTCTACCTCTCGCATTCTTCTCATCCTCCCCCTCTTTCTCTCGCCTCCTTTCCTTCTGACTTTTTTTTTTTTACTGCAGCACCTTACACACCCCTAGTTGCTGCAGCAAGTCTCTTAAAGGTACAGAACTGGTTGGTGTTGTTGCCGTGGTGATGGAGGCGTTGGCATTACCAGCAAGGCTCTGGGTTGGTCTGACTTACAGAGAGGCTGCACAAACACTCTCCATGCAGACAAGCCCTCGTACAGCTTCAGATCAACTTCAGATCTGTAGGACTTGGTTTAGCGGGGTGCAAAGACGAGATCAAAAGGGTTTATGTAACACCACTAAATAATATAGAACCTAATTAATCTTCTGAAAGTTTTCACTTCCTGTCTCTCGTTTGCCCACATTTTGTCTTCTCTTTAACACCCTCTCTTCTTGTTTTTTTTTCCTTCTTCTCGCTCCGACCCTCCCTCTGCAGGTTTACGCGGCCCGAGCATCTAGGAAGCAGTGCCAAAATCAAGTGCGGCGGTTGCCATAGTTACCAGGAGTCCACCAAACAGCTGACAATGAAGAAGCTCCCCATCGTAGCGTGTTTCCATCTCAAAGTGAGTCGGCCGGTGACAACGTGCTGCCAATTATCTCCTGTTACATTATCTGTCTGACAATTTAATTATTTTAGGGTACGGGGAGCTTTTATCGTTCACACATCTTATTTTGTCGTTAGTCCAAAAACAATCATCCAAATGCAGATGCGTTTTAAAATTATTTCTTGACAGTTTTGATATTTCTACATCCCTATATATATGTGATCCATTTTGTCCTGTGTGTATGCAGCCTTACATCCGATGCATAAGATGTGTGTGATGTTGCTTGTGCGTAGGTGTGTTGATAATCTGATTCAGTTGTTGGTGCATTACCTCCATCCCTTTCACGCATTGTCCCAGGACACCAATGACTTGTCCAGCCCTCCACTGTCCATGTTTTATTTATCATACCAGTATTGGGGGGGGGGAAGGTCTATAACGTATTTATGATATTCATGGGACCAGGCTTCCAAGGAAATTGTCTTGAGCTCAATCCTGTTATTATATTGGTGTGAAAGCGCAAACGTGAGGCACACAACATGTAATTTCACTTTTCATTAGCTGCGTTGTATTTTGTATGTTGTGATGTCTGTTATTTCTAAATAATGTGTCCTCTCCCCTCCCCCCACTCTCTCTCTCTCTTGCCATGTTTCTGCCCCTTCCCCCTCTCTCCTCTCCTCTCTCATCCTCTCTGGCCATCTACAGCGGTTTGAGCACTCTGCCAAACTGCGGAGGAAGATCACTACATACGTTTCCTTCCCCCTAGAGTTGGACATGACGCCCTTCATGGCATCCAGGTAAGCCCCCCACCTAGGGCCCATAGATTTCCCCCTGATAGTGAATCTGGTCCCGCCAGTCCACATCAAGCTAGATAAAACAGGTCTTCTGTTTAGATCTAGGAGCAGCTTTTTGACGTGGTTTATCGTATGTTAATGTTTGTAGTGCACACTCTATGATACACTATACAGACATTGCACTCACAGTAATTGAACATATTTGCATATTGGGCAAAACATCATTATTCAATGCTTCCAATACATGTATTGATGTCATTAAAGCATGCAGTTGCAGTAATGCCCCACCCCTGGCAGAAGCATCCATTCAGCTCTGTTCAGAGACAGAAAGATCATTAAGGGGCTGGCAGGGAATATATTGGCTTTCAAAGATAGAAGAATTCTGCCACCTAGTGGATTCTCGTGCCATTGTAACATGTTTACCAGTGCATGCAGCTTTAACAAATGCTAATGTCTTGCTTTTGTTTTTCTGCCTCCGACAGTAAAGAGAGCAGGATGAACGGGCAGTATCAACAGACGGTTGATGTGTTAAACAACGACAATAAGTGAGTACCTTTTGAACACATGTACTACAGCAAACTAGTATATAACACACATATTAACACTCTGCGGCCTCAGAGCAGTACACACATTATAGTAGAAATGTCTCTTCCAGCACAGCAGCACATGCTAATGACCTGAAGCATCCGGCTGTGACTTCCCCAAATGAAATCAACTTGGAACCTATTAAACGCTGCTTAATTTTCTTCATACATGACAGTTACAATAGCTTTCATTTTCAAGGACGTTTACGGGGAATTGAATATCTTAATACCATTGACGGGTTGCTTGTAGCGGAGACGCAAAGTCAGTATTCAAGGAGATGATTGATGAGGCGTTTTAAATACACAGGAAAGACCTGAAAGAGCAGCAGCATGGCGTTCAAGACAAATGAAGGCACCCATGTATGGGGAGGATAAAGGGGCTTTATGAGATATTTGTGCTAAAGTGATTCAAACAACAAAACAAACACACATTTACATCTCTTTGTTTGTTTTTTCTAGGTATTCCTTGTTTGCGGTGGTCAACCACCAAGGCACATTAGAGAGTGGCCACTACACCAGCTTCATCCGCCAGCACAAAGACCAGTGGTTCAAATGTGATGACGCCATAATCACCAAGGCCAGCATTAAGGATGTACTCGATAGTGAAGGGTGAGTCCAGAAACAAGACAATAACAGTACTAAGAAGTGTTATACAGTATGACATCTGTAACACATCGTATTCCTTCCCCCGTCTCTCAGGTACCTCTTATTCTACCATAAACAGTTCCTTGAGTACGAGTAGTCTTTGTGAGGACTTACCACGAAGAACCACTGCTTCTAACGAGAGAGTCAAGGGCCTGGGGACAGGATGAAACACAAACACACAAACCTACCTGAAACTCTTTGACTACCAGTCTACTACAGAGTCCAGGGCAACACATAAAAAGACGTGTGAAATCATGCAACCTTTCAAAAGAATACAACAAAAAAAACAAGCACTGACCTACTTCTTGGCATCTACTTGACAAAACTGAATGAAGAGGAGAGATGGAGGAGGAGGAGGAAGAGTCGGGCGTCGTCAGTTCCAGGCTTGGGCAGAGGGAAGAGGCCCCCCCCCCACCCCACCCCTCACCCTCTTCCCCCCCCCCCCCCCCCCCCCTACCTGCTGCAGGGGGTGGTCTGAGTGTGACTGGCCGTCATCTCCATCGGGCTCATCTGGATTTTTCTCACAGTATTCTGACCCCCTTCACCGCCCGCCCCCCCCACTCACGCCCTCTCACACCCTCCCACCCCCCCACTCACACCCTCCATTTCTCTCCCATGGTGCTCTCGTTTTCAACTGACCAAGCATTTAACTCGATAGAAGACAGTTTGTTGTCATATGCATACAGGACTGAACGCAAAAAAAAAAAAAGTAAGAATAATAAAATCAACGTATTATGAACTTTGCAAGAACATTTCTAAAGGTATGGTTATGATTCTTATCATTTGTGAATTTTGTTATGAAATACTGTATGAATCTAGTATACATTTATTTTTTAAGAGCAAAAAAAACAACATGGGGGAGCTTAGAGACGCTGCCTTTGCCAGTTGCTGGGGAAGTGCTGCCATGGAAACTAAGCAGATTTGGACCTGAGTGTGCTCATGTTCCATTATTTACTGTGTTGATTGTTTTATTTTTAAGTCTGGTTGAGGGCGGGGAATATCTATTTTTTTTTAGCAACTCATCACATTTTTGTTTACTGTTCTTTTGTCTCTTTTATTGTTTTGATTTCAGTACAGTCATGTGTCCCTCGCTGTCCTGGTACTGGAAATGTTGTTTGACGTATTATACTTTCATTCTTGTGGAATTGTTGGTATAATGATGGTGATGGTTAAATTGGCTCACCTTTTTGCTGTTTATGAATTGTATGTTGAATGTGAGCTTTGGGTTTCATGTGGCATTATGAAGAGAAGACTCCATACATGAGGTCTTATAATATGTGAGAATGCTGTGGTCTCTTCTCATTGAACACCTTTGATGCTCTGTGCAAAAAAAAAAACACAAAAAAAAAAACAGCCCATTTAACAACACTGCATGCGACTGGGCTCTCATGATCTTATACTATGTGAAAAATGACCCTCAGTAATGCCTCAAGGCCTGCTGCCCATCATGATTTTTGTTCTGTAGTTTGGGGATGGGGAGACGATCATGTGAGATGTATAGAGGATAAAACACATTGCACGTATACGCGCACTGTGCGACCACAGCCTCGCTCTGACTCCATCAGTGTTAATCTTCTCCATGGCAACTGTGTGGCTGGTGTAGACCGGTGTGGTCCGTGGTGTCTTGCCTCTGCAGTGCAGTAAACCCAGTGCTCCATTCAATCAGTATGCTGTCAAGACTTTAGATAATGCACATACACATCAGGGTGTTGTGGTCTGTTTTGTTTGAATATCACAGATTGTGTATGTATAATAAAATACAGAAATAAACAAATATTCACTCATGTATAATATGAGGTCCCTAACCTATCACAGTAATGCCACATAAAAACCACAACCCCTGGTTGTTTAGCTGCTCTGTAAGTCAAAAACAAACATGCATATCCTTTGGTCTGCTGCAGAACCTCAGCTAGAGGGCAACGGCGGGTTTCTGAACAGTAAAATCAAAGACTTTGGTTATTGGTGTATCATGGAGCAGTTAAGACCACCCAAGGACATTCAGGGACGCAGCTGAAACGAGGAGGAAGAGGAGAGCTTCATTATCCGTTTCAGTGATTAAACTCAGAACAAAACTGGAATGTGTTTGTTCTTTTTTCTTATCTGACAATCACACTGCCCTTCATCGGGTCAATATACAGAATGTAAACGCTGTAGTGTATTCTGGACTTTAAGAGAAAGTACCGGAAAGGAAACTCATCCATTTAACAAAGGTTTAACACATTTTAACACTTGACATGCATAAACCTTGTCATATTTCTGTCCCGAGAACATCTCTAGTTACGTGTTTGAGTATGGCGCCACTTGGTGTTCAGAATAAGAAGCTCAGAGAAGATCTGGGAGAAATCAAGTGTTAACCTGCCCTCAGGATTTAACCCTCCTGTTGTCTTTGGGTCAAATCTGACCGATTTACTACTTTCATCAATCATAACTTTTTTGTTTTACATTCGATTGCATTAAGACTTTATGATATGCTTCACAGTAGACATTTGAACATATAAAATTGCTGATCTGCACTTTCATTGAATTTTGGATGATTTAGTCAACTTTGTAACACCCATGGTGTTCCCGGTCAAAAATGACCGCCATAAGGAAAAGGAATTAGTAACCATTAGGATCAGATAAAACACACATAAAAACACACACATACTCTAAATGTGTTCCCCCCCATGTGAATCACACCTGGCACACACAAACACACACACAGAACAATTTGACACATTTCCCGCTCTATGTGCCCATCCCCCCACATGGATCACACCTGGCACACGCAATACATGTTCAGTGTCTATTCTTTGTATATTTACTGCAGTTTTTCATGTATACCAGTAGTCTGATACAATATGTACAGTTTGAAAGGGTGTTAAATGAAATGTAATGATGATTAATGATAGCAGTTAAAACAGGACCGGTCAAATTTGACCGCGAACACCAAAGTAAGGGGGGGGGGAAACGAAGACAATAGAAGGGTTAAAGCAAAAAAAAAGGTTAAATAGGAATTCAAATAAGACCCTAGGATTAAAATAATGTAATAACAATATTGTTAATACATTGCAAATGTTAAATGTACTGTAAATATGCAGTATTTTACCATATTCATTTATACATTTGGCATTCACAATAATACACACAAACAAATGTATCACTTAGAACTTGCTTTATTTAGTTTCAACACAATTATGCACAATCTTTGTTTGCTCCGTCAAACTTGATGTTTCATTATTACTCAACTGAACAGAAACTGGAAGAACATACATGATGCACTTTCTACAGAAACAGTAACACTTTCAGTTGTTTTGTTTTTTTTAACTTCATGAGACATAACATTGGGGCACTCCATAAAAAAACATACCAAATTACAACACCGATGGAACAAATGGCAAGTAGAACATCTACAATATAATATTAAGAAACGTAAATATTTAAAATAAATAAGATGGAAAAAAACCTGTAAGCATTGACAAAAGGTCTTTGCCACTATGATACATTCTAGAATGACTTCAATAGCTAGATGATATTGTACAGGTGATGGGATTTACATATCTTTGTACATAAACCTTCCTATACACTTAAATCAGTGTTTTTGTAACCGTTGTGTTTTGTTTCACAGCCCTAATGCAGCCTTTCTTTTTCATCTGAGCAATGTCCACATTCATAATTCATGTCCAGTGTCATATCTAGTATTATTATGCTAATTAGTGTAACCATGGGCCCGACACTCTTGGTCACTGTTGCTATGGAAATATAAGACATAAGAGTTGTGTCATGTGTTTGGATGAGAAAAATACAAGAGGTAACAAATCCCAAAATACCACAGATTGGATAATGGAAGTTGATTTGTTGTGGCTGTGGGGTCACAACATGTCAGTGTGTTTGTGTAATTCTGTTTTTCATCCACTATTGACACAAGAAAACCACATGTTTAGAGTGGTTAGTCTCTTTTGAATGTATGAATTTAAATATCAATGATAACACATACTCTGCCTCACAGTTTTGTAAGGGTTTAGGTGATTGAGATTAACGCACACAGACACTCAGGATTCTAATCATAATCTGTCACTGGCTTTGTTGTGTATGGAGGGAACATGTGCGTCGTGTAGGGTAGAGTTTTAAAGTTATATAGATAGGAATCTGAGCACAGCCACAGACAGACAGTCACAGGATGGCAGGGTGAACTGTAGACTCTTGAAGCAGCACAGCCGTCACGATGATAAAGGAACCTCAGAGCCTCTCGAGGATAAGTGTTCTAGTCCTTTACAAATTCCCGTCACTCAGACACCCGGAGGAGAAAAAAAAACACTTGAAACGTGGCATCTCAAATGCCACGGATTGTGAGAGGAGGATGTGTCAGTGTCATTATACAGAGTCTTTACAAGTAGCTAGCTATGAGAGGCAGCATTCGACAAGCTAAGCCTCTCACATATGGAAAGTCGAGGAGAATAGAAGAACAGATGAAAAACAGCAGTTTACAGATAGCTACCGAACATTGTTTCCTGCAATACAACATAATGAAACATCAATAAACTGAAAGTCTGTTTGAAATGAGATAAGTGTATCCAGCTTAAATCCAAGTACATTACTTCTCTTCTTGGATAGCGATCCATTCGCTTCACTGGAGTAAAATGATCCTTCAGAAAATATGATATGAGCAGGTTTTATGGTGTAAAATAAGTAAAAAATATGAACTACCCAGTATTCTAATTGAATAATTTAGAACAATGCAGTCTGGCATTTTGGAAAGAAGAAAATACTTTAAAAAAAAAAACAATGATAGCAACATTATTTTGTAACATAAATAATGATAAATAAACAATGAGAATGAACATCTCATACATCGCACAACCTCATATGCTATACAACATTAGAGGAGAGTTTCTATACATCTTAGCAGCAATTTGGTTAGAGGCTGGCTTTGTTTATTGAGTCAGTACCTTTAATGTAATATGAATTATGCATGTAGCTACACTACAGCAGCGAGTGACAAAGTACGATATATGTACCCGCCAACTGAACACTGTTACATTTACAATTGATACGTTTCTTCACAAGTAAATTTGGTCACACATTTAATCAGACCATTGTACCACAAAACACAAATATTCAAGGGAACTAACATTAATAATGTTCTGTGTCTGGAAAAAATTGACTTTTTTACACATTCTCTTCCCCATTTCTACATATATTTACAGTTGAAAAGAGAACATAAATTGCAGACATGACATGAACAAAATAAAGGAATTGCCAGTTTGTTGTTTTACAGCATATGAGAACACTCTTATGTTATTTCAACACAATGCAGGACTCTGGAAACTTGGCACAGCCCGCCGCTGAAAACTACGAATATAAACCTTGGTCTCCAGGGAAAATTCAAGTCACCCAGGGGACCATTTGTAAGTGGGCGTTAGTGTCCGTTCCACCTTTCCTCAGAGTCAATACACTGAGAACAGTCAAACAGATTTCATATACAGCATAGAGCAAACAGTTTTATGAACGCACAATAATGTAATAATGGATTTGTTTACAGCCAAGGAAATCAAACAATGTGTCAAAGGCAGATAGAGGAACAGTGCAGTTTGAAATTCTGATGTTGCTTTGTCCTCCTTAACAAGGGACATGTTCCTTTCTTTAATAATGTCCACTTCCTGTCTGATGTGACCTTAGAGATGCTGATAAGAGGTTACTGTTATTTATTTCAGATATGTAGGACTCTTGTGTGCGAGTCCATCACCTTCCTCTCAGATGCTGGTCTGCAGGTCGCCATTCAGCAGAGTGCTTTGGGTCTCTGTGGGTTCATTTATCATGCGAGACTTATCCTGTCGGCTATCGCTGCGGTCAGCCTCATCCAGCCCTCCCACCTTCTTAAGACACAGAACATTCTGGAAACTCTTCCTAAAGTTTTCTGACAGGAAGGCGTAGAGAATGGGGTTGGCGCAGCTATTGGCGTATCCCAGAACCACCACAAAAGCAAAAGTGCTCCTCAGGAAGGGAGTGGTGCTGATGGTCCCTGTCACCGAGGTGACGTTGAAAACGTAGAAAGGCAGCCAGCAGAAGACGAACACTGCCACTACGATGGACACCATCCTCGTCACCTTCCTCTCTGAGCGCTTCCTTTTAGAGGAGCCCACACGGATGCCCGAGGACTTCACCTTAAAGATGATAAACAAGTAGCAAAGGCAGATGACCATGAGGGGCAGGAAGAAGCCCAGGATGAAGGTGTAGAACATGAACGCCGTCTGGTAGGCCTCTTGAGGCTCGGGCCACACAATGGTGCAGAAGCAGCTGTCGTGCTTTACGATGACTCCGCTGTAGATAACAATGGGCAGGTTCACCATCAAGGACACCCCCCACACTGTCAAGTTAATAGTCTTGGCCATTCGCGGCTTGCGCCACTTTGTGGACTTAATGGGGTGCACCACAGCCAGGTAGCGATCGATGCTCATGACCATCAGGCAGAAGATGGATGTGAACTGGTTCAGGGAGTCGACAGTCATCACCACCCTGCAGAGCACCGGGCCAAATGGCCAGTGGACCAGAGCCAGCTGGATGGCGATGAAGGGCAGGCCCATCATGAAGAGCACGTCGGCCACTGCCAGGTTGAGGATGTAGATGTTGGTAACCGTCTTCATCTTGGCGTAGCGCAGGATGACGTAGATGACGAGGGCATTTCCACAAAGCCCCACAGTGCAAACAAGGAAGTACATGCAGGTGATGACCACCGTGCTGGTTTTGTTGAAGCTGTGGTCTGTGTAGGTCCCATTGTAGTCAGACTCATTGCCCTGCACGAAGCTGTCGTACATGAGGTGATCCGACAGGTTCGGGGGGGACGATGGGAAGATCCAGGAGTCCATGATACCTCACTGTCTCCCGTGAATTAGGGCATCTCACCTGCACACATAAAGACTTATCTCAGTAACAACGCAAAATCATTTACAATAACCTTTTTTTTATAAATCATTTTTACAATCCTGACATTTATGTTCATCCACTTGATATGTACGTTAACATAGATTGTTTCCTTTCAGAAGAAGAACATTAAATCCATCATCTTCATCAGATATGGAATGGGATCTCTCTTCCTTCCTCCCTTCTTCCTGATTGATGTTAGTTTGTTGAACCAATAAAACAAGTAGCTATCTATATGAGTGATCTCTGTAACGCCATGAATCACGGCATGTTACGGCATGTTTACCCGAGATCTTTAAAACAGGAAATGTTGTTTTTGTATCATCCTTACCAGCAGTACCTAAGAGGATTGTATAGATGTTGTATCTGGATCCTCTCTCTTGAGAACAGACCTGATGATGGTATGTGTAAAGAAGAGCATATCAGGCTGTTTTGCAGTACCTAAGGCCAGATTCCGTGTGTGTTTATTTGGTCAAACACTGCTATCTAGGGAAATCACTACACCCTCCAGTCATACTCTCCCTCTGGGGAAAGATGCTTGCCCTTCACATACTGCTATAACCAGCTGCGATGGGTAACACTGAATTCTTTGCTGACACATTTTTATTTATTTATTAGGGGGTGGGCATGGATGTAAATTAGTCCGAGCCTAAGTAATTGAATGAGGGGAATCACAGTACTGCCAATAGCCGTGTTGCAGTCAGATTGAAGTGCTTGTCACTGCCAATGCACAGGAGGCAAGCATGGTCTGACAACTTAGTTTGGTGCCAATAACATAAGAGGTTTTATGATGCCAGTTTTTCTTTTCAACCATGGCAAAAGGCATGGCATTCATCTGACGGATAGACGGTTACATCTCAGCAGAGGGGGTGTTTGAGATCAGTTAAAACATAGCGTGTTGGTGTCTATAAATCTGGAGGAAAAGGCGGATCTGAGTCTGAGGGGAATGGATAGACTATTGTAGCATATGGTAGTTCATTCATCCAACAGAAACAGACCACCCGAATAAAACATATTACCCTATTGAAGCACTCGAGCTCTGTTGCTTAGGTAAACAATACATTGAAGTCATTGATGACTGTTATGAGTATTATTTTGGCAATCTCATGAAATACTATTCTGTGAATGGTTCCATTGCCATATTTGATGCATTTATCAAAGTGTGCAACAGGTTTTCTTTCTATAAAATCAGCACAGAGCCTCCACAGTCAAAAGACAGATAACTATCTGATTTGCAATCAACAACAAAACAATATTTTAGTTAAGTAGCTTCTTAAAGCTCTTGTTTTTTTCATCGAGTTATTTTTCTCCTTCAATGCTGAAGGCCATGAATTCTGCTCTAACTTTTGCTTTAAGTCCCTAAAAAGTAGAAGTTTAGAATATTAAACTGAATAAATGATTACTAGCTCATCGTAAATTATGCAAATCCATCTCATGGGAAATAAAACAAGAATCAGGTCAAGTCAGGATTTTCATTGACAATGTTAGCAAACTCATCTGAGGGTTTTGTGGAATGAGATCACATTTGTTTTAATGCCACAACATAATACTTTTACCAGATTACAGAAAAATGGCATAATAGTAAAACAACAGCAGTTCATACAAGTGTGAATGATTAACATGTTGAACTATTTCTTCAACTTAATTTGAATGGAATAATCGGATTCATCTGGTAATCTTAACACATCTACTGATCTGAGACAGTTTACTATTCACTCTACGATGAGGCAAAACAAAGTAAAATCTTACCTGCAACTGGATTCAATCTCACTGTCTACGCCACCTCACTTCTGTACGGATGATAGTATTTCAGTGTTTACAGCAGATGTATCCTCTTCATCTCCAAATATTCCTCAAGTTTGCCTCACTGGAACCGAAGTGTGAAACCTCTGTGCAATGCAATTCTCCTTATTATACTCACATATTGTAGCCTGAATGACATACGATGGTAAAGGGGAAAGAAAAAGAGTCGCAAAAATAAATAAATGACTAACGGGATATGCACAAAGCTCCGATGCGCTTGTGGTGTGGTGCGCGCTGTGACTGCCTCGAGCTAAAGAGCGCGCATGTGTTAAGGGACGTGCACAAAAAGCAGTGAGGAGGTGCTGAAGAGACTCACCTCTGATCGAAAGGAATTGGCTCCTCTCCTGTGATATAGATCCCCTAAGAGCTAAGTGAATCAGAGGATACATTCTAATGGAACATTTATCAAATGCATCGATGCACGGAGTAAGGCGATTGTTGAACATATTGATGCCCTGACAATTAAGTGCGTACAAAGACGTAAAAAGATAAGGCTACAGTTGAAGTTTTCAAACGTTAATAGTATAAACACAAGAAGGCCCTTTGGGCACATCAGAGTCAATACCGTTCTCTTCCAGTATTCGAGGCGAAATGCTGTTCAATGTGCTTTTGAAACATCTTACCGGCTTGTTTCTCACTAGCGGATCAATGGTAATGGTTTAATACACTGGTCGGCGAAACCCAGGACATCATATCAAAAATATATTTTCTTTCTGACATTTGGACTCAAAATGTATCTAAAATGTACTTTGAAATGACGACCAAATTAGTCAAACATAGCAAAGCCACTTTTACGCACGCCTCCGGACTGATCTATAGAAAATACTGAATAAAATCTATATAGACCCTCCAGTGTTCGCACATGAGCCTTCACGAGTCACGATCTGGCACTCCTGCTAATTTACAAAGTTTAGTTAGCCTCCGGACCCTGCACAGTGACACCACCTATCCAGTGGCGACTGGTCATTAGGGGCAGGTGGGGCACAGCCCCACCTAGTGTCAGCAGAAAGTATTACAAATAATGATTACAAAAATGCAAAAAAATAAATAAAAAAATATATAAAATATATTTTAAGATCATGTTTAATCATCTGATTCGTCTGTACATTGCTGTTTTAGTCTGTGTTCTTCTAATTAGTGTGTCTACAGTCACAGTGTGTGCCTATTGAGCTGTTTAGAGCCATGTGGGACAAAACCTGATTATGCCCCTCCCTCTCGCTGTGAAGTCAACGGTGACTGTAAAAACTACACTGCGCATGCTCAGAGTATTTTGTAATGAAATGTGTGTGGCAAAAAAATAATGACCAGAGGGGCATGGAGCTACCATCCCCACCATACGTCATCTCAAATCATTCAGAGCTGATTGGCTGTAAGTACGTGTGCCGCGAAAAGTGTGGTGTGTGAAGAGGAGACGAGAGAGCTGCAGTGACGCGTCCTAAAACCAGGAAGTAAGCTGCGCATGGCTTCCCTCGACAAAAAAGCAATGAGATTTCTCCAGAGGATTTTAGAAAATAGCTGGAAATAAGATCTGTGGGAAACGTACCTGTTAGATAAATGCACGTTTTGATCAGCCGGATAACATCCACATGTCTACCCTACTTTTATAATTTTTTTATCATAAATCTATGGATTAGATTTATGATAGACTTTTGAAACTACAAGAACATAAGGAGGACTTTTACAAAAAAGTTATAGACATTTTTGTCCAGAAGGATAGGCAAATGGACTTCATCTTCAAGTCAAGGTAAGACCGCAATTTGATTGAAAATGGGATCTTACTAAGAGAGAACAATTCAATATTTAAATGATAAAATTACATTTTTTGGGTATCCTTTTGTTGAACTGTCTGTTTAAAATTAATCGAAGCATCAGACAAAAAAAGCTTTTGAAAATAATATTATATTTTGGTTTAGGTCAAAATATAATATTTGTAAACCTGAAGAGTCAGTGCCAGTGCCTCACCAGCCATGAACCTCACTGCACGTCACTGCAGAAGCTTATATATAGACATCTACGTTTTTTGTGCCCCACCACTTTTGTACATATAAAAACGCCACTGCACCTATCCCACTGCCGGCCAGAAGCTATATTACAAATCCATGCTTCAAAATTAACGTTATGTTAACGCCCAGCCATCAGAGGCAGCATTGAGCGCAAAGGTTTAAAGCTGCAACCAAATTACGCGCGGTAAAAATCCCCCCCACACCTGACAGAATCGAGTTTCATCATTAAGATAAACGTATATTGTGTGGAGAGAGATGCATACCTCGAATTCGTTACCGTTACAGTAGGCCAATACTCATTGCTGCACCCATGCCTTGGCTTGTTTGCCCTGATTAATTTCCCAACATAGCTGATTATGTGGCGTGACAAACCCAAATCCAGTTTCCCAAACATTTCTTCAGCATGCAGTGGGTGATACTGTGGATAGGCTACTGCAGATGTCATGTCCACGTGCAACACTTGAGCCCTTGATCGAAGATCCCTCACACTGAGTGTAGTCCAATCTGATCTGCAGGTAAGGTGCATTTGAACTCTTTTATTCAAACTTGTGTATTGGTGTTATTGATGCTTTGTTATTGTGCAAACACAATCCGTGTTAAACAGTTTTGACAGTAAAACAAACGTGTTGTGGTTCCATGTCCTTTCTCTTTGTATTGAGGCCTGTCATGCTAAGTTGCATTCAGCATTAGCTGTGTGTGTCAATGTTTGAGTAGCAATTGTTTGACAGTAGGTGATTATATTGCAGGTCTCCCTTGAAAAAGAGATCTATGATCTCAATGGGACCAATCTGGTTAAATAAAGGTTTGAAATTAAATGAAATTATGTATTATGGTCAACTGCTAATTTTCAACTATAACTATTGCATAACTATTGGTGCAAAAGCAAAGGTTTAAAAGAAATGCCAAATAATACACTGCAAACAAGAGACTGCCAGGAAAATATTTGGGGTGTTGGTCAAAATGGCAGACCACTGGGTTGCTGCTGAAGCTTTTAAAGCGGCATACTGTAGAGGTGGATGTGTTTCCACACCAGCAGTGAACAGTGACCACTGATCCCACAGGTCTGCCCCCAGAGACCTGCTGCCCTCACACTGGTGTCATGCTAGCCTGTTCTTTGAAAGGTCTTCCACGTTTTTGGCCTGTTATATTAAATGGACTAAACATGTCAGGTATCATCTTCTGTTACCTAAAATGATGGTTTGGCTTAAGTTATTCATCGCATTCAAATGTCTTTGGCATTGGTTGATATCCATTTAATATGCTGTGACCGCTGTGACCCACAACAGCAATGATAGGATCATATCTGCTATGTAAGCCTCCATATATTCACAGTATGACCATCATGCAGTCACTCTCCAGCCCTGCCCTGACTTAATGAGATTTGAAATAAGGATTGTTTTTTTCTATTTCATTGTTATAGTTAACATTCTACGGGAATAAAGGTAATTGAGTAGTGTAATGTTAAACTATTATTGTTCCCTTTTTCCTTAAAAACCACATGAGCCACTAAACCCTGTGTGATTTTACATTATTCTTTGGACAAAAAGTATTTAATGAGAGCTGGAAAATGAACATGAGCCATCTGTTCAAGAGAGAGGAGAGGATGTAGTGCCCTCTCTGTGTGGAGATTTTGTGTTGACATTAAACATACATGATGCAGGTGAAGAAGGCCACAGGGGAAATTAAACACATTTAGAAGGGACATATTTTTATTATTAGGAGTTATCTTGCCTCGTGGAGGAACAATCAATAGTACTAAAAACTTGATTTTTAACTACTGTGTTTTCATTTACCAGATGTTAAGGGAAAACAGTCTAATTGATGACCCTTGAGGTGGTAGCATTGTTTATCATTATAATATATTTATTTTCCAAGACCAACAAGCATGCCGATACATATCGACATTGAATGATGTCGGCAGGGACATCCTGATGATGGGTTATTTAGTTATATGCTACTTCAACAGTGGTGGTGTAATGCAAAGTAGAGCCTGAAGCTCAGCTCGGTATATTTGCTTGCTAATTATTGAGGCACGACCAGGCCCTTCTCTCGCTCAGGGTCTGAATTGAAAGCATTGATTACACATCCAGCCAGGGTAAATTGACAAACAATTAGCAGCCCGAGGCAGCAGCAAAATATTCAATGGATGATGCTTTTGACTTTTTGTTAATGATACTGCTATGAGAGAAACAAATTAACCAGGTGTTCTGAAAGATATTGCTGCAATATGTTAGCACAGAACAAAGGTAAGATCTTTATTGGCTTTCAAGAGACTTTTTCTCATTTCAGATCCACTAAGAGAGAAGATTAGGACTTGTTGGATTGTTATTTGATGGATCAAAGCATTATCACAATCTTTGAGAGTTGTTGTGCATTTCATAATGTTTCATGCTGCTATAGATGTAGGAGGAAAGTTGCTCATGTCTTTCTCAAGGGTCTGTAAGTCAGTGCTCCTCCATGCACCTCATGTGATGATACTGTCTAGTGAGTCACTTCGTATCTTCTCACTGTTGTAATGACATTTGCCCTTCTGGGGCTAAGTGGTCATCAAAATGTTAATTAACTACACCATCAGTGTCTTCACCTCTCATCTTTTCTTATCATGGTCAGTAAGCCACTGACATGTGACCCTTCACAGTTTGAAGGCTAAAGGTTGTCATAGATTCAATTTAATCCCCTTTTTCCATACATTATGTTGTATTATTATCAATATCATGCTTGCAAATGTGCTCGGGAAGAAAGTGTCAGTGAAATTCTCCTCAAAATTGAAATCGATAATAAATATAGAGTAGATACAAGCATGATTGAAATTGCCAACTACTTATAGTGTGAAAAACCATCAAACAGAAAAGCTAGCTGCTCTGCTATAAGACTCTGACTAATGACTATTTCCGTTATAACTTTAACCTGCTGTTTCTTGCTTTGATTAATCTGCTCATAGATAATAGTGAAACATGTTCATGATCATTTTGAAGCCAATGATGATGTCTTTGTCCAAAATAAAAGCATATTTAGCCAACTATCTCATATGATAAAGAGCCAAACCTCACATTTTAGAAGCGAAGACCAGGGGAAATTATTATTTGACCTGTGGCTTAATCCTTCTGAG